TTTGCTGAGATTTGCTTATTCCTTCTCCATCCTCTCATTCCATTCTTATTGTATCCATCCTAATTCAAGTCTATATGTCTTCCTGTTTACAATGAAGACCACAGTAAGTCAGCTAGTCTACCTGTCCCTGTAATCTGTCTGTTTGTGTTCCAGTCCCTCCTTCATACTACACCCTGAGTAATATCCCTGGTCATCACCTCTGATGATGTCAGTCTTATCCTAAAACCTTTAGTAAATTTCCCTTCTCTAATGAATAATTCATGCAAGGTCCTCCATAGTCTTGACTCCAACCTACCCTTCTAGCCATATCTCCTACATGCAGCTGTCCCTGTACTCCATTTTCCATCTAAAGTAGACTCCCCTCTTCTTTTCTGCTCTTTCTCATCTTCACATCATGCCATTTTCCATGTGTGGAAAGGACACCTCTTGCCACTTTGTACTAAAGCTTCTCCCTTCTTTTAAGGTCTAACTCAAGTGCCACCTATTATGAACTGTTTCTGATTCCTCCCTCCACCCTACCAGGCCAAGCTGGAAATAATTATTCCCTATTTACAATTCTTCATAACACCTTGCCCGGACTTCTCTGTTGCTAGCGCTGCATCCTAATTATTTGTGTGCCCATCTTTTCTCCCCTGTTAGATTATAAATTCTGAGATTGTGTTACTTTTCATCCTTGTATCCTCAGGGCCCTAGCACCAAGCATTGGATATAGAAAGAATTCAACTATATTCATTGTTGAACTGAATCAAAATGCTTCAGGGCTGTTGGTTAATGCCCTGCAGATGAGAACGAAAACAAAAATTCAGGTACTTTCATCCTAATCTGTCCCAGAAAATTTTGAAGAAATTGAAAAAGGAGGGAGTATTAGCTGAATGTCTCCTCTCTCTCCTTGACCTGTATGGCACAGAACTAGAGGATACAGTTCAACAGGGCTTCTTGGAGCTCCTTGCCTGTATCCTTATTATCAGTGGCACGTGAAACAAGAGTGAGAATCTCACATCCCAGATGCCCACTCCCATCAGCACGGGTCAGTCCAGTCTGTGATAACAGTATGAACATGGAATACTTCCATTTCGCTATTTAACCTCCATCATGGATAAGACAGCAGGCATCTTTCAATCTTTCCTGCATAGGTGAACAATTAAATAGAAGGACAGAAAAACATGCATTGTAATAGCCAGATTAACCCAGTGTTTGATTTAGGTCTTTCTCTCTCTATGTGATACTCACAAGTGATTGCAAAACTATTTTTTCACGTTCCAAAGCCATTGTGGGTGGATCCTGGCCTGTGTCACTCAGTATTCCAAGAACTAAGTACAGAGTCTTTCAGATGCCCTTTGCTAGGAGACCTAATTCCCAGGAAGTCATTAAGGCTTGATAAATGTTTGTTGTATTGGATTAGATTTTCTTGTCTATTTGTAAGTTGATACTGTATTTTAAAGCAATTTTTTCAAGTAATGAGTATTTTTTATTATCTCTCCCTTGATCCCTCTGCCACATTGAACAAATTAAAAAAAAACAACAACAACACCATATACACAAGCCAAACAGATCTCTCATTACGTATCTGCATAGTCTGGCAAAACAATTTCCCACTTTAGCCTTGTCTGAAAATGTAAAAGAATTTTCAAAAGGAACCTAATTTAGCTCTAAAATTTTTGTTGTTGTTCAGCCATTTTTCAGTCATGTCTCATACTTCATGACCCCATTTGGGGTTTTCTTGGCAAAAATACTGAAGTGGTTTTCCATTTCCTTCTTCAGTTCATTTTGTAGGTGAGGCAACTGCATTAAACAGAGTTGTTAAGTGACTTTCCCAGGATCACACAGCTAGTAAGTATCAGAGTCCAGATTGAACTTAGAAAGATGAGTCTCCAGGCTCAGAATTCTATCCACTGTGCCGCCTAGTTGCCCTAAAATTGTAGGTCGTAAATCTGCAACTGAAAAGTCTTTATTTGTTAATTGCATTCATAGATTTAGAGCCAGGCAAAGCCTCAGAGGCCTTCTAGTATAACTCCTTCATTTGATGGATGAGAAAACTCAGGCGAAGGGAACTTAAGCAACGTGGCCAAGGTCATGCATCTAGTAAGTATGAGAGGCAGGATTTGAACCCAGGTCTTTTAATTTCCAAGACTGTTTGTTCCCACTAAATTATTCTGCAAACTCTACCCTGCCTCCTGTCCTCCCCTTTTCCTGGCAGTTATGGGAGAAAAGGTAGGTAGATACCAGAGTGACTTCTTAGAGTGAAGTCCAAGGAGAAAATCTGAGTTTGAAGAAGTTAGATGTATAGATTTTGTGCATAGCAATATTGTAGAAAAAGTACCATGAAAAACAGTTGTCGGTTTGGGAGCATGTTGAGCCTGGAATGGTGTGCTATTGTTCTCTATACATTTTACCCTTGCAGAAATGAGTCTGGGGATGTGATTCCCAGAGAAGACGTGTATGTGGTGATGGGAGTGCTTGAGGATCCCTAATGGGCATTTTGGAGTACTCACATAGGTAGATGTGCTTCCTGGGTAGGACAGGGTGGACGAGATAGTGCAAAGCATAATTACAGCTGTAGATACATGAAGTTTTGGGTGCCATTGAGTTCAGAAAGGAGCATGATAACTGATGAGGCTAACTGAGGTGGTTGAGGCTCAGCCAGGAAAACAAGCAGTAGACTTGTCAAGACCATCGGAGGAGTCACCGTGGTAGGATTCTGGTGAATGGAATTGAGATGGTGCTTCAGGTGTTTCTGAGGAGAGAGATTTTGAATTAGGGCTTATGGAGCACACTTGACAAAGTTCCTGCTTCCCTGGGACGTAGGGAGTCTGGAAAAGAAATAGTGGAGTCTGTTATTAAAGGCTAGAAATCAGGGGAGTAGTTCAATAAGCTTTTATCCCATGCCTAGTATAGTAAGTTCAAGGTACTGTCCATGGTGCTGGAGATAGACATGACGAGAGTCCTTTCCTTCAAGGGATAGATATCTAAACAGCTAACAGATAAATAAAATTACCATCAATGTAGGGGATTAGAGAAGGCTTATGGTAGGAGCAGGCCCTCAAGTTGATCCTTGAAGGAAGCTAAGGATTCTAATTACCTGAGGTGGGAGGGAGGGCATTCCAGGGAATGGGGTTAGCCTATGGAAAAGCTCTACATGAGTCAAGAACGGTTGAGACTAGAGACTGGGAGCACAGCAAAAACAGGGACCTGAGCTTGACAGGGGCTTAAAATTCACTGTTGGTGGAAGGTTGTGAACTCTGCCTTTCTTTCCCCTTCTGCGTATAGTTGTTATTCCGGGAGTCTCTCAGAACATTAGTAAAAAACAAGTGTTTGAGTTATAGATGCTGTAGAGTGAACATGAGAGCAGGATGAGCCAAAGCAGAGAGAAGGGAAGGAGGGTATGAGTCCCAGAGTTGCCATCTGTGAAGGACAAATCCCCCTTTGATGATCCCCCTAAGAGAGGCAGCAATGCAAAGTGACCAGGGAGCTGGCCGAGGGAAGCTTTGATTTAGGGTCTGTCCTTGCCTTGCTTTCTTCCTGTGTGTCCGTGGCTCCATCCTCCCAAGAATTAACAACAGTGGCCTATCTAGATCTTATGTCACGGCTAGAGTTTTGTGGCATCTCACCATTATAATAGCAATAACTAATGTGGAAAACTCCCATAATAACAATGATAATAATTACTGACATATAGGACTTAGAGAATACTTACAACAGTTAACAACAATAATAATGATAACTGACACATGGAACTCACCTAATAATAACTGACGTATGGAATTTATTGAATAAGACAATAATAACTGATATAAAGAAATTGAGAACACCAATAACAATACCAGCAGTCATAATAACTGACATATAGCAGTCACAGAATAGCGATAATGACTGACATACAGAATTCAGAGAATACAAATAATGATAAGTGACATTTAGAACTAGAAAGTTTACCAGATGCATTGATGCAATGTTTCACTTGAGCTTTACAACTCTGGTAAGGCAGGGACTACAGCTTTTAATAATTCTTATTTTACAGAAGGTTGAGTGACTTCCCCAAAGTCACACAAAAAGTAAAAACTTTGAACCCCAGTCTTTATGAAGCCCAGCCCAGAAATCTAGCATGATACCAAGTTGTCAAGCCAAGCCATTCTTTCTCCTATTTTCCCTTTCTTCCCTCTTAGTTCCTTCTTCCTGCATACTTTTCAGAGATCTACTTCCCCACAAAAGACAATGGGCCAAGGCAAATTTAGAAGTCTAACCATGGGTGGAAATAACTGGGAAACCTTATCCCACAGCATCTTCCAATCCTCTGTGCCCATAGTGAGCCCTCCATGAATGTTGTTTTCTGAGTTTCCTCTGGGCTTCTCTCTTATGTTCATTTGTCTCAGTGTCTTCTTCCCTCCACATGCTGGGCATGAGATGAGATTAAATTTTACTTTCTAACATGCATGAATAACAGCTGCCCAAATCACATCAGCCATTAAAGAAGAAACCAGTCATATTTATGTGATGCTTCAGAAGAGCACATTAAGCTGAAATACATGCAAAAAAAACTTACCAGTGATTGCCGTTATGAAATATGCTATTGCCTTTGAAATGAAACAGGTGAATCATCAAATATTAATTTCCCACTGTGACAGCCACAAGCCCTGAAAAGATGCCATAATTAAGAGGCTTCTTCTTCCCAGATGGTAGGAAATGCTTTCACTATTGAAGGCCTTCTTGGTAGAAAGCTAGTATCGACTCAGGACCCGGAGTAGTCTTTGATTTCAAATGTGATTCCCAGGAGCACCTTACATGCAGGTCCCATGGGCTTATGGTGCCTCAAGGTCAATAAAAATATTATTCTTATGTTGAATGTCATGGCAAACCTCATATTGCTGAAGGAGCACTGGTAGAAAACATCTCTGGTCAAGAAGGTCATGGTTTTCACTTTTGCTCTGTTGTGTAAGTAGGTCACAGGTTGAATGCGTCTTTTGGTACTTAATGGCAATTCCTATTCTCTCTTGTGCTCATAGGACAGTGACATTGAGGCATTGGTCAGGTGTTTGGAAAGTGTCCTGGCGTGCAGCTCCCTAGGTGAGTTGACATCAAATTTTCAGGTTCTGTTTATAGTATTTGATAGAGATCTCTTCATTCTGTTGAAACGTTGTGTATTACGTTATGTACACTCCTAGCTATTCCTCATATTTGAAATTCCATCTCTGATGTATTCATGAGCAAACACAAGATAGAAGCAATTACCGAAGATGAAATAGATAGCTTGGATTATACTAAACTGAAAAGCTTCTGTACAAACAAAATTAATGTGCTAGAGGGAGGCAAATGAGAAAAAATCTTTGTATCCAATTTCTCTGATAAGAGTTTGTTATTTAAGACATATAAACAAGTAAGAGATATGTCTGTTTACATCTATATCTACATCCGTATCTAGCTATCTGTCTGTCTATCTATCTATCTATCTATCTATCTATCTGTCTGTCTATCTATCTATCTGTCTGTCTGTCTATTTATGTATCTGTCTATCTATTTATATATCTATCTATGTATCTATCTGTCTATCTATCTATCTATCTATCTATCTATCTATCTATCTATCTATCTATCTGTGTATCTATCTATCTGTCTGTCTATCTGTCTATCAAACCTAAAGTCATTCCCTAATAAGTGATCAAAGAATGTAAAGAGACAGTGCTCAGAAGAATTGTAAACTGTTGACAGCCAAATGAAAGAATGATCCATATCACTAATAATAAGAGAAATGCTCAACAAAACAACCCTGAAGTTTTACCTCACATCCCACAAAGATGACAAAAGATGGGAATAATCAGTGTTCAATGAATTGAGGTAAGTTAGGCACACTGATACATTGTTGGTGGAGCTGTGAATTGGTACGACCGTTTTGGAGAGTGTACTGTCCCAAGCTTCAGGGGTTTGTGTAGCTGTTTTCAGAGATACTTGTAGGGACCTGTAAATTTTCAGTTCTTCCAAGGTGGTATGAAAAGGGGCGAGGTGTTTACTCCTTTCCTGGCCTGTGACCACAAGTATGCCTTTCTGTCCTGTAACTGTGAGGAAGGGTTCCTCTTCACAGCCACTACAAGCTCCTCCACGCCAGCCCTCCTCCTCACCCCAGCACTGCCGCCCAGAACTGTGACCCAGATCCCTCTTGGATCAGCCACTGGATTCCCCCTCAGTCTGTGGGCGGGAAGCTCGGGAAGCAGCTGCCTCCCCAGGGCCACGCTCTTGGGGAATGGAGCTGAAATCCCGCCTTTCTCTCTCAACACTGACAGAAACAGACTTTTTCCACTGACCTTTTAAGTTGTCTTTGGCATTGGTGGATTGAGGAGTCTGGAAACCTCCACAGCTGCCGCAATTCAGTCCTCTGAGGCCTGCTCCAAGTTCACTGTGGCTTGCGCGCCCACGCCACTCTGTGCTGCACTCCCAGCCTGGCGCGATACACCTTTCTGATCAATCTTCCAGGTTGTCTTGGGCTGGAAATTTGTTTCACTCTGTCTTTCTGTGTGTTCTGCTGCTTCAGAATTTGTTTAGAGCCATTTTTTTATGAGTATTTGGAGGGGTTTGGAGGAGAACTCAAGCAAGTCACTGCTTTCACTCCACCATCTGGGCTCTGCCTACAGTACTACTGTTTTGGAAAGCGACTTGGAATTATGCATATGAAATTACTATAATGGCCACATGCTTTGACTTAGAGACTCCACTACTGGGCTTACAACCCAAGGAGGCCATTGATAAGAAAGTTCCCATATAGCCCCAAAATATTATAGTATTTCTTGTGATAGAAAAGAATTTTTTAAAATCGATGCTTATGTATCGGGGAATGGCTAATTGTGGTGCAGAACATTGTAATTTAAGAAAAGATATGTGTGATGTATACAGGGAAGTGTGGAGAGATCTACATGAAATGATTCAGAGTGAAGCGAGCAGAGCCGACAAAGCAGTATACTTAATGACTACAATGATGTAAATGGAAAGAAAAATAAGAATAAATCAAAAGTGAATAGTGGCAAAGCTACAAGCAGCAAGCCTAGCTCAAAGTCGAGTTATGAGAAGATGCCTGGCCTCTCTGGAGAGGTTCACATGTGTACCACATTGCCCATGTTTTCAGACTTTTTCAGTGGATTGATCAGGTTTGCCAGTTTCCCCCCTCCTTTTCTTTTTTCTTTTTCTGATCTTTAAAAAATATTTGTTATGTGGGATGGCTCCCTGGAAGGAGAAGAGAGAAGAGGGAGCAGGGAGGAGATTATGACAATATAAAAAAAAAGCAAAAAGAAAACAATAAAACAGTTGTTTGTTTTTTAAGAAATTCTATCTACTACCTCCACACCTTTGTCCAAGCAGTCCCTTAAGTTTAGAATGTGCTCCTTTCTTTCCTCTTCCTCAGAATCCTAACCCCCAGTTATTAGCATCCCTTCCTTCTTGAAATTACTTTGTATTGATGAGGCAGCGTGAGAGGCAGAGTGGTGTACTGGGTGGAAAGTTGTTCATGAAGCCAGGAAGAGCTGGGTTCAAGTCCTGTTGCTCACACCACCTATCTGCATAACTGAGGGCAGTGGGTAGATCACTTGACTGCTCAGGGCCCTCTGGAAACTCTCTGAAGCTAAAAATTAGAGTAGGGAGGGATGCCAAGGAAACCTTGGGTTTGCCTCCTCCTCCTCCACCCTCATCATATTGCTTTGCGTACATATTGTGTCTTCTAATCAACTGTATGTATACTCCTTTAATGGATGATATCTTGTTCTGTGGTATCTCCAGCTACCTCATCATACCTGCATTGTAGGTGCTTAGCACTTTTTTATTCAATTGAATGTCAGAACTGGGAGGAGCCTTAGTGGTCATGTTATTATTCATCCCTTCTCCTGTCCCCTAATTTTTTTTTTATCAGGTGAGGAAACTAAAGCCCAGAGATTGAATGTCTTGTCCAGAGTTGCACAGCTCAGAGAGGGCCCTTTTATTCTTAAGTCAGCCTTATCACTTGGAGGAGGCCTGTGAAAGGCACTCACATTTCCCTGTTTGACATTATGTTGTTAACAACCCCTCCTCACCGTCTCCCTCTCCTCCTCCAAAAAGCCTAGAGTTATTGAATGTCCCACTACTCTCCCAGGGTGAGAAAGTATTGAAATTTGGTGGGCTCTCATAATCCAATGTGAGTCCTGCCTGGCCCCACATAATAAGAGATTTTGCAGGATTTCCCTAGAAGTGCGATCTCCCTGACTCTTACATTATAAAGAAACAGATTGCTTTCATTCAAGCTGAAAAGACCCATAGCCATGAAGGTCGGTCAGTTATTGAAATATATTAGGTCTGGAAAACAAAACTGAAATTTCTTTAGAGGTGTCAATCTCAATAAATGGAACATGGGTCTTCAATGATAGAGTCTTGTTTTAAATTCTCTTTCCAAATAGCTTTGCTGTGATTTCCGCCAGATAGTGATTGTTCTGCTGCCAAGGAGGCAGGAGAGGGGGATAGTCTTATATGGGAAATGTCAGGACCGTGACATCTCCCAAAGGTGAGTATGGACTTTCGGACACACCCCAAAGGCACCCACTCAGGAACGGTGGCCAGTGGAAGGACGAGCACCCATCAGGCTTTTACTGTCCTTTTGGTCATCATTTCTTTGCTACTTTAGTAGGTGCTTGGCTTCTCAAGGGTTTGTAGTATGCATCTCCCTCTCCAGGACCCCGCATCATGTTTTTGTCTCCCCTAATCTGTCCTCATTGTTCTTTAGCCACAGGTTTATGAGGGACAGCCCACTCTTGATTCTCTAGGGTTGGGGAGACCTCAAGTGGCAAGAAAGGCTAGAAAAATATGGAGGCCAACTCTGTTTTCACTCTTTCCTGCCAACACCATCATGCACATTTAGAGCACTATTACTTCTTAAATCATGTTCAAAGCATCTTGGTATTAATAGAGTTTCAGCCAGACTGGTCTGCTGGCTGTTCCTCAGACTGGTCATCCCTTTCCCAGCCATGGCTGGTGCCGTGTGCCTGAAGGACATTCTCCTTACTCTCACCTTCTAGGATCCCTGGCTTTTTTTCCCAACCTCTTAGCCAAAAGCTACCTCCTATAGGAAGCCCTTCCTCATCTCCCCAGCTACTAGCATTTTCTTCCTCTTCAACTAATCATCTATATTCTTATTTGTTCTTTGTGTTAGAGCCTCTGAACCCCCAGCAGAATGTATGCTTTAGAGGCAAGGATTCTTTCATTTTGTGTGGGTATTCGCAGCACTTAGCACAGGACCTGCAACATGGTAGAGCTTAATAAATATTTGTTAGGTTGGGCTGGATTGGATCAGATCCCAGAACCTTAGGGATCATCTAGTCTGGAGGTATCAAACTCCAGAAGCAAATTAAAATGTATTTGAGAAATGTGGAACCAAATAAATATGAATACCACACAGACAGTGTTTGTTGTGGTTTTCTAAGTCAATGTTCATTTCTATTTGAATTTGACACTACCCTCATTTTACAAATGAAGAAGTATAGGACCAGAGGGTTTAAGTGATTTCTCTAGGGTCACAGAACTAGTAGGTGAAGGGAACTAGAACCCAGGTCCCCTAAAGCCCATGTGATTTCTGTGACACTGCAGACCCTCCTCGGCTCCCTTCTTATGTATGACCAGAGAAGACAAGGCAGCCTGGAGTCAAATTAAATCTTTCTGCCCCAAAGGAAGTGTCTGTTTGGCTGTGAATGGAGAAACTGAACTGATGAGAGAGAGTACTCTCTGATACGAAAACTCATTCATGAGGGAACATTTGAAATAGGCCCATGTTTGAGTATGGGCTGCTAGTGGTGCCATAGTACACAGAGCACCAGGCTTGGAATCATCTTCTAGAGTTCAAATCCAGCCTCAGACACTTAATAAGCTGTGTGACCTTGAGCAAGTTACTTAACCTTCTCAATTCCTCATCTGTAAAATGAGCCGGATAAGGAAATGGCAAACCACTCCAGTATCTTTGCCAAGACAACTCCAAGTGGGGTCATGAGGGGTCAGACACAACTGAAAAATGACTGAACGACAGTTGGGGATAGGGCAGAGCTTCTTCAGATGGTGCCAGGATA